ACAGTCAATCAGCTGACAAGCCTGTGATGGTTAATTCTAGGTGTCAACTTGACTGGATTAAGAGATACCTGGAGAGTTGGTAAGGCATCGTTTCTGGGTGTGTTTGAGAGGGTAATTCCCAAGAAGAATGGAATATGAGTTGGTGAACTGAGTGAGGAAGATTTTTTCCTCCTCAGTGAAGGCAGGCACAATCCATTTGGCTGGGTGACTGGATAGAACACAAAGGCAGAGGAAAGGCAAATTCTCTCCCTCTTCTCTCTTCTCTCTCTTTCTCTCCCTCTCTCTCTATCCCCTTTTCTCTCCCGGAGCTGGGACACCCTTCTTCCTCTGCCCTGAGACATAAGAACTCCAGGTTCTCTGGACTTTGGACTCTTCATCTTACATCATTGGTCCCCTAGATTCTCAGGTCTTTGGACACAGCCTGAACGATACCATTGTCTTCCCTGGTTCTGAAGCCTTTGGACTTGGACTGAGCCTTGCCACCAGTATCCCTGAATCTCCATCTTATAGTTAGATTATCCTGAGACTTAATATCCATAACAACATGAGTCATTTCCCCTAATAAATTTTATATTGTATCTATCTATCTATCTATCTATCTATCTATCTATCTATCTATCTATCTATCTATCATCTATCTAATCTTTATATCTACCAATCTTCTGTGGGTTTTGTCTCTTTTGGGAAACCCTGAGTAAAACAAGGCTATTAGACTTATTCCTAACAATTCAAAATAACATATTGAATCCAAAATTACTTCTTAGTGCACTGATATAAATAAACCTAGCAAATCCAACAGTGTATTTCTTCCTCTCTGTTGTAACACTCTAACAATCAATACCCAAAGATATTTTTCCAGTTTTCACTAATATAAATTGTCAAAATATTAAAATTCTTTTGTGTGTATAGCATATCCTCCAGGATTAGACTTTGTATTTTTCTCACGTTTTGAGTTCAGTTATAGGTTTAGAAGCAAGAGAGGTGATGGGGCGGTACTTGAGAATCAGCATTCTTCCATAAGTCTCCAGGTTCTTTAGTAAGGGGAGATGAGTTTATTCTGACAGGGTAAGTTTCTACTAAGTGGAATTTGGGCGTTCATTGCAATTTATCTAAATAGCTCCATCCCGATCTTCAGTATCTCATTCTTTCCCCATCAATGTTATAGATAAAGTACTGTAAGAGATTCTGAGGAGCCATACATTTGATTTGCATTTTAATTCATCACTTGTAGTATCAGACTTTGGGTTTGGTTTTCAAAAACTTGAAACCTGCAGCTAAAAGTTATGAGGTATTTTTTTCAAGATAGTCACAGATATTTCACTTTCAATATTCAGAACTCGAGATAGGAATAGAAAGCCCTGACTTCATCATTTTTTTCTTTTTCTTTTTCTTTTTTTTTTTTTTTGAGACGGAGTCTTGCTCTGTTGCCCAGGCTGGAGTGCAGTGGCTGGATCTCAGCTCACTGCAAGCTCCGCCTCCCGGGTTCGCGCCATTCCCCTGCCTCAGCCTCCCGAGTAGCTGGGACTACAGGCGCCCGCCACCACGCCTGGCTAATTTTTTTTGTATTTTAGTAGAGACGGGGTTTCACCGTGTTAGCCAGGATGGTCTCGATCTCCTGACCTCGTGATCCGCCCGTCTCGGCCTCTCAAAGTGCTGGGATTACAGGCTTGAGCCACTGCGCCCGGCCATTTGCTTTTTCTAGTACAGTTAAAACAGGCAACCATCTCTTTCCTCTTTTTTTTTTTTTTTGAGGTGGAGTTTTGCTCTTGTTGCCCAGGCTGGAGTCCAATGGCATGGTCTCAGCTCACTGCAACCTCTGCCTCCCAGGCTTAAGCGATTCTCCTGCCTCAGCCTCCCAAGTAGCTGGGATTACAGGTGTGCACCACCACGCCGGACGAATTTTTGTATTTTTAGTAGAGATGAGGTTTCACCATGTTGGCCAGGCTTGTCTCGAACTCCTGACCTCAGGTGATACATCCATCTTAGCATCCCAAAGTGCTGGGATTACAGGCATGAGCTACTGCGTCCGGCCGTCTTTCCTCTTTGTCCTTATAATCTGTATTTTGATTATAACTTTTTAAATTAAAAAATTAGTGGGCTGGGTGCAGTGGCTCACGGGCTCACACCTATAATCCCAGCACTTTGGGAGGCTGAGATGGGTGGACCACGTGAGGTCAGGAGTTCAAGATGAGCCTGGCCAACATGGCGAAATCCTGCTTCCACTAAAAAATAAATAAATAAATAAATAAATAAATAAAAAAAAAATAGCTGGGTGTGGTGGTGGGCACTGTAATCCCAGCTACTCAGGAGGCTGAGGCAGAAGAATCACTTGAACCCAGGAGGCACAGGTTGCAGTGAGCCAAGATTCTGCCCCTGCATTTCAGCCTGGGCAACAAGAGCAAAACTCCATCTAAAAAAAAAAAAAAAATTAGTGGGTAGCAGTAGGTAGCTGGTATGGTCTGAATGTTTGAGTCCCTCCAAAATTCAAGTCCCTCCAAAACTCCTTACTTCAAAGTGATGGTATTAGAAGACGGGGGCTTTAGGAAATGATTAGGTTATGAGACTGGAGCCCCCAGAAAGGCATTCGTGCCTTTATAAAAGTAGCCCCCAAAAGCTCCCTTCCTCTTTCCACCATGTGAGGACACAACAAGGAAGCACTATCTGTGAAGAAGCGGCCCTCACCAGACATCAGATCTGCTGGTGCCTTCATCTTAAACTTCCCAGCCTCCAGACTGTGAGAAATTAAAGCCTGTTGTTTATAAGCTACCCAATTTACGGCATTGTGTTATAGCAGCCTAAACTAAGATAGTCACCCAAAGCATAGGCATCCAACTCCAGGTAACTCCAGGTGATAATGTAAGAAATTATTTTTCAAATATCATGGTCTATAAGTATCTTATTTACCACTGGCAATGAGGTTATTAGTGCTTTTAAATCTGATCACATTATAGAACCAATTCTAGATTCCCATCTTTAAGATTCTGTACCCCTGGATCCACTTTAGTGCCATAAGCTACGTCAGTCTGGGTTTGTTCAGAAAAGCTGAGGCACTACAAGGATGACAGAAATAAGTGTAAATCAAATTTATAAGTAAGAATTAATGTGTACACAAATTTGTGTGTAGCTGGTGGAGATTTGTCTGGAAGGCTGCAACTGAAAGACCAGAGAGAATTCCATTAATCACATCATTATTAAGCTCTGGCACTGACACAACTAAAAAATCTTACAGGACATTTGTGAAACCACAAAGTGGGAGCTCATGAGAGGTCTGTGGAAGCACCACAGTGACTGGAGTCATCATGTTTGACTTCCACAGTTTCCTTAGAATAATGGCTTCTGTTTCACTTTTGCCTTCCAAATAATTTATGAAGTCCTCTCATTGGCAAATTTTAATCTAATACCACACAGGGAAAGAATTTTGTGAAACAGTTTTCAGACTTGAGTGGGAATAGTAGAAGTTGTATCAGGGTGTCAACAGACACTCCAGAACACCTAGTTCTTTCCTGTCTCTGATATGGTTTTTCAAATGCTCAAACTCTAAGAAGTCCAGTCTTCCCTAGAATCACTCTAATATTTGTGTGTTGAATTTAACTACCACTTGTTGGGTACTCTGTTTCATACCTTATACTAAAATATGGGAATACAGTGATGCACCAGTCACATTTCTTTCATTACAATTTCATAGGCTAACAGGGAAGAAATATTTGGTAACAAGTAAGTGGTATTCATTTGAAGAATGCTGCAATAATGGTATACACCAAGATAAATAAGAAAAAATGGATGTTTGTTAGGAAAGCAAGGTTAAGAAGGTCATTTTAATGAGAAGAAACAGGATGTAAATCAGCATGAGTTCTAAAAGATGACAAATTTAAGTAGATTAAGTTCAAGAAGACAGCGGGGGAGATTAAGTTGGAAAAGCAGACAGAGGTAAAGTCAAGAAGAACATATACAGAAGATTGAACTGTTTCTTTCTTTCTTTCTTTCTTTTTTGTAGCAAGTGGAAACCAATAAAGGAATTTAAGTCCTAGAGATTTGTTTTGTATAAAATTACTCTTTATAGCAATACAGTGGAAGAGTTCAAGGCCAGAGGTGGAAAGGCATTTTAGGAGGCAGCTGACATAGCCTAGGTGAAAATTATATAAAAGCTAGATTAGTTGAAGTTTAGGGGATGGTTTCAAATGGGGATCCACATAGTTTAGTTGATGGGATCTGGAGATGTGCCAAGAGAGATGATCTGATGTCTCTGTTTCTGATTTGGTTGACCAGTTAAATGGTAAAGGTCATTAATTAAATAGGGGCTCAAATTAATATGTGCTTTGTAAGAACTCAACTCTGAAAAACTATGATACTTTTTGTTACTTTTAAATGGAACTATGTTTACAATTATAAAATGTACAAAATGTTCCTATGTCTTCATGGCACATAAAAGGAAAATACTTCATGTCAAAATAAGAAATGCATGCGTGAATTTAGGTGCTCAACATGACCTATTATAATATCTGTCAAATAGAAAACCCTGGTAAATAGTATGCTGTGAATGTCACAAACTGTAGGCAAAGGTGTGGAAAATTTATGCAATGTAATCTGATCCATTCATTTTATAACGTTATATTGTATTTTAATTCTTCATTTCTAGTTTTCCTTGTTCTCTCTCTGTGCTTCTTCATTTAATTTGCAAAATCTGAGTTTACAATTTGTATGTTCATTTCATAGCTTTCTTGCCATAATAATCTATAGTTTTGTTCAGAAAGTATACTTTCTGAAAAAATGAAGGAATCACTTAATCAGTAAATTAACCAAATAGAAACAACTGTGTTATCAGAAAGTAGTGATTATAGCACCAGATTAGGGTCAGGAGACCTGGGTTCTGGCCTCAGTTCTGTCACTTCAGCAGGTGACCAATTCTCTTTGGGCTTGTTTCATTTTCTGAATGATTAATTACTTGTATTTTTGAACTTATCAGACTATATTTTAATACTTGTCAAAATGTTTATTTTCAGGAATGCTCTACTGGACAGTCAGCTTTTGGGGGGTAAGCAATTCATCCTAATTATTTTTGTGTTCCTAACATAGCCCAGTGCCAAGCAGATGCTTAATGAATAGTGGTTGAATGATTAAATAATTGATTAATTATCAGGAGCATGAATGAAGGTTAAGGTCTGGAAAGTGGGATCCAAACAATATCTGGAGTATCATTAGTACTCAAGATCAAGAAAAGACCAAAAAATAAAGTTTGAAAGAAAAATTAAAAACCAGTAGTAAATTCGGATTACCTCAACTCCAGTAGAGCAAGTCAGCTATTGGGATTACAAGGCAGAAGTAGGCTTAATCCTGAGCAAAAGTAGTTTGCACCTGGCCAATTTTTGAGTTTTAACCAGTTATGAGAATTGCTAGGTTTGATAATGGAATGTTAAAAATAATTATTTGGAGATTCACTGTTTCTGGGATATTCCCATTTGTTAGGTGGTCCTAGTGATGGTAGTGAGCATAGGAGAGTTAATGAATTGGTTTAGGCTGTTTTTCTTTAAACTTTTGTTTTAAATATACTCTTCAGAGGCAGAACCATTCTATGGTTAAATATCTAGCTGGATGCTGTGGTTCGAATGATTTTTGTTCCCTCTGAAATTCATGTTGAAACTTGATCCCCAATACAACAGTATTAAGAGGTGTGGCCTTTAGGAGGGCTTAGTGATTGAATAGGGCTCCACCCTCATGAATGGGATTAGGTGCCCTTGTAAGAGGGTTTGGTGGAGGAACCCGTTTTTACCCTTCTGCCACGTTAGGACATAGTGCTCCTTCCCTGCAGAGGATGTAGCAACAAGGCACCATCTTAGAAGCAGAGAGACAAGGCTCTCACCAGCTGATTCCTTGCTCTCAGACTCCCCAGCCTTCAGAACTATGAGAAATAAATTTCTATTGTTTATAAATTACCCATTCTGTGGTATTTTTTTATAATAGCACAAATAGACTAAGAATCTAGGCTTCCACAAATACTTATTTAGATCATACCCCAAAGGGTGCCTGGCTGAGGCTTAAGGACCTACTTCAGGCTCTGTTTGCCAAGTCATGACCGTGGGAAGGGAAGAGGGGAAGATAGTCAGAGGAAGAGTTGTGTTTTGGAGTTGGTCTCCCCAACAGGGACCTTTTCTAACTTGCATGAGGGTACAGAGATCCTGGCCCTAATGGTACCAAAAGAACATCCAAAAATAAAAAACAAATCACCAGAGGAGATTCTGACTACAAAAAGTGCTCTAGGTTTTTTCTATATAGTGTTCTTGTTATTTATCATATGCCAGGCTCCCCAAGGCTAATGCTTGAGCGTATAATGAATCATTTTCAGTAGCTTTATGCATAACCTCTACATTACAACTTGGTCCTCAATGCATTTTTCTGAAGGATCCACTGAGAAATAAGAAACTCATATGTATGCATTGACCTGCTACCATGGGATATTACCCCTTGATCTTTGTAAGAAAACCTCTTCTAATTTCCATACCTTGGAGACATGTTAATGAATAAATGACTGATTAAAAACATTTCTTATTGAATTTATGTACTTCCTGAGATATTAGTTAGGTTAAAATTTTAGATGCTATTGAATATGCGATGATTTGGAGACTTTATAGGTGGGGTTGATTTGCAAACGTGTTTCTCTCCAGTGATTAGTCTGTGTCTAATTTTTGTGTTTCATTTTGATTTAAAAAATAGAACAGTTTCAAACCAAACAAATATATCAAAATATTCTCACATATTTAAGTCCATTTGTGGTTTAGCGGTAGATGAGATGGCAAAGATGCTTCATGACTTATTTATTGAATTCTTGTCCCTATCTAAAACAAGGAATCTTAGAACTGGGAAAATCCTAGGGGCCATGTAGTCTAACTTCCCACTTCATGCAAGGACCGTGTCTTAGCACCCTGCCTGAATACTTTCCCATGAAGGGAGTCGGGAGAGGTTAGGTCACTTGTTTGTTCTCTGTTCTACTGCATTGTTGGACACTGATAATTCCCAGAAACTTCTTATTTTGAATTGAAATTCTGACTCACTGGAATCCATTATATTAGATTCCTCTTTGTCTCACTTCCTATTCCAGGTAGTACCCTGAGGTACTGGGCAATATTATCAAAACAACTAGTATTTCAGTAGGTCAAAACAGTTCTAACTTGAGTTTTGTCTCCTCTAAACTAAATGGTCTTAGAGCTGCTAACCATTCTACCATCTAAATTCCTGGCAACTCACACTTGTTTCTCTCTTTCTAGTCTTTAGTTTTGCAAAGACCCCTTAAAAGACTGCCTGTGTTTGAATTCCAGTTCCACTTCTTAGTAGCTGCATCAACTTGGACAGTTATTGTAACCATTTTTTTTTTTGGCCTCAGATTAGTTATTATAAGTAAAGCATTCATTTGTTTACCAATTGTTTGTTGAATATTTACATACCACGAATCACATAATCTTTTAGGTGGCTGAGAAACATCAATGGCTAAAATAAATTTCCTTGCCCTCATAGAAGTTGTATTCATTCTTAAGATGGTTCCTGGCATATAGTAAATGCTTTGTGGTGTTTGTTATGTGTGTATATATTTATGTGTACCTGTGTATGAATATAAAGTCCAAAGTAGTCAAAATACGTCAGATATACTCTCACTAGTGCTGAAATACATTAAGATTATCACTTTATTTAAATTGGAAGAATATTACCTTTTTTTAAAATTATTTTAATAGGTGGGTTAATTATTGCTTTTGTTAAGGCTAAAGTCAGCAGACAGTTTTAGTTATTATTTTTTTATAAGTAACATTGAGTGCTGTTATTAGCAAATATGAAAACTCATCTGTGTGTGGAGTGCAAACGTCTGGAGAAGACCAAACCCAGTCTTTGTGTTTTTGTGTATAGGACAAAATTTCCTTGACACAGTCTCTACCTTTCTGCCAGCTCTCCTTTCTGTTGGCGTGGCTTTGATCCTACTGCCTACCTCCTCTCGACCCAGTGGTATGCTGAAACCAACCTGTACTGTTGAGCTGATTGTTAAAAATTCAGGAATTTTGCAAGCTGGTTGCAAGATGCTGTTGATAGCCTGAAAGTGGCCACACTGGGAATATTTCATAGAAATCCGCAAAATCTACACATTAAAACTTTTCTTTTGTGCCAGTTTACTCGTGCACCACTGCCCCAACCTGACAAGACTTGACCAGCATCTCCTTATTGTGGTTTTAGTTGCCAGCTGAGCTTTACTTTGATACTTACTAATAATTAGGCTCTTGGCTGATATGTGTAACTGTACTTTCAATCTAGAATAGTTGTGTTTTAAGCAGAATTTTGATGGTGGGAAGAAGTTCCTAAGAAATTTTGTAAAGATAGGAATCTTTGTTTTTGTTATTGATGTTTCTCTACTGCCTAGATGATTATGAAGTATATAGTCAGTGTTCAATAAATATTTGTGAAACATATGAATGCTTTACATGTAATAAGTACTGTTCATTGAAACACAAAGAGGTTACATAACTGATGTCATGCAGCTAGGAATGAAGGAGTGAAGCAGTAATCCAAACATAGGCAATCTGTTAAGGAGTTCTTTGCAAAATTAAAGGAATTGAAGCAGCTGATCTGTGTTTTGTTTGTATTCTATTCCGTGTGATACCCCAAGGGGAAAGAAAAAAAGGCAAGTGATCCCATCAAATCTCCTTGTCAACTGGAACCTAGAGTATATAGAGTAATAATATTACCCAAGGAAAAGAGACCTTATCTGTTTAGTATTCCTATGAGGATATTCCCTACAGGACTGCCCCTAGGGCATTTGAAGCCTCGGGTAAATATTTTCTGGAGATGCACTGGGGGTGTACAAACAATTTGATTAAATATATAATGTATTACAAAATTAATACATATATGTAAAGTATAAAGATATATTGATGAAAATGTATAATAGCAGAGAAGTGGTACTTAAATATTTCTTTATTTTCTGATCAGAGCACATGATAATATTTTATAATGTCCAGTCATCTTTTCTTTTTGCTCAATCCCAGGAGCCGTGTTCTTCATGTGCTTTCTTGTCAAATGTGTCCTTCTTGGCAAATTTTATATTTCCTACCACAAGAAAAATGTAGCAGTACTGTTATTACTCACAATGTCGTGGATCTTCAAACCTATTTGTATTGAAACACCATTGATCTTCTTGGTCCTATAGTTCCCAAGATTATAGTCCCATAATCATCTTGTTAATGATGATGATGTTATTACTCAGGGTACTGCATTCTCCATCATACCACCCATGAATATGGAATTCTAAGGACTCTCTCAAATGTGGTTACTGTGCTTTGGGGTTGATGACCACAAATGTAAGTCTTTCACAGTGTATGCAGGAAAATATGAATAATAACATTTTCTGGTTATGTTAAATGTATTATTTAGAATGTTATAGCATAAATATAGAAGAGCATATTCCAACCACGTTAAACTCTTCAGGCAATGATCAGTGCACTCCTATGATGTAATATCTTTCAATGTTGATCACATCTCTGCTTTCCACTCGCCAACAACAGTAAGTAAAAAGCAAGGGGCTCATGGGCACAGCAAAAAGAAGGATCTCATTTGTACAAGGGATATTTGTCCTTTGTCCAGATCTGCTTAAGACTGACCCTGGAGAAGCCAGGCACAGTGGCTCATGCCTATAATCCCAGCATGTTGGGAGGCTGAGGTGGGTGAATCACCTGAGGTCAGGAGTTTGAGACCAGCCTGACCATTATGGTGAAGCCCCATCTCTACTAAAAAAAAAAATATACAAAAATTAGCCAGGCATGGTAGCACGCCTCTGTAGTCCCTGCTACTCAGGAGATTGGGACAGGAGAATTGCTTGAACCTGGGAGGCGGAGGTCGCAGTGAACCGAGATGGCACCATTGCACTACAGCCTGGGTGACAGAGCGAGACTCCATCTCACACACACACACACAAAACAAAACACAAAAAAACTGACCCTGGAGAACACAACATCACCACATTAACAGGAGGTAAGACAGGTCATTAATTAAAATTGCCCACTGGTGTTGAAAAGCAATGCTTGAAAAAAATCCTTAGAAG